AAGGGGCGTGGGACCCACCAGCCGGCCGTCTCTCTCTGTCTCTCTCCTCCCTCCCCGGCCTCCTGGAGGCAGAGGCGGAGCGCTGCGCTCCCCGCCCTCCCCGGCTGCAGGCATTGGATCGCGGCGTCCCTCCCCCCCGGAGTCCCCTCCGCCCGCCTCCTCCTCGGCGATCCAGCGGTTGGCGTCCCTCGCTTGACTTCCTGGAGAAGTTGGGGGCGGCCGGGATCGGCGCTCCTCTCCCCGAGGGCGGCTCTCCGGTGATCCTTTTGGAGAAGACGCGCGTCTTGGCGCACGTCGGGACGGCTCGGCCGCTTTCCCTTCTTCACGCGGCGGCGCCCCGGACCTGGATCTTCGCCGGGGTCCTTCTGGCAACAGATCCCCCCCCCCCCTTTCCATGCTTTGGATGGGGGACCTCCGAGTCTCTCGCAGCCTAGCCGTGCACCACCAACCCAGGCACGTGTGAATGGCCGGAGGACGCGGGTCGAGGATGAAGGGCGCGCGAGGCGCCGGCTTTCTCCTTTGAAGGACTTCGGATCGCCGCTCTTGGCCGCGCTGGAGCGCTGAATCGCGGCCGCCCAGAGGCGCGGGTGAAGGGCACCTGTCGGTCCTTTCCCTCCCCCCGGACGCCCGCCTTCCTTTCGGATCCCCCCACCCCCTGCGTCCGAGATGGCGGCCATCCAAGCCCTCCAGCAGTGGTGTAAGAAGCAGTGCGAAGGCTACAAGGACGTCCACATCACCAACATGACCACCTCCTTCCGCGACGGCTTGGCCTTCTGCGCGATCCTGCACCGCCACAGGCCGGATCTGATGTGAGTCGCCGCCACTCCGTCCCTCGGGGGGAGGCGGGGAAGGGGCTCTGGGGGCGGGGGGTGTCTCCGTCTTGCAGAGAGATTTGGGACAAGGAGGGGGGCTTAGACGGCTTCTATCCGTCTAAAGCCCTGCTGGCTGCAGGGGACTCCTGGCATCTCCGGGTAAAAGGATCTGGCAGGAGGTGATGGGAAAGACCTCCGCCTGAGACCCTGGAGAGCTGTGAAGAGGGGCTGTGGCTCAGTGGAAGAGCTTCTGCTTGGCATGCAAAAGGTCCCAGGTTCAATCCCCGGCATCTCCAGTTACAAAGGACCAGGCAGAAGGTGATTGGAAGGACCTCTGGGAGACCCTGGAGAGCTGTAAGAGCTCCTCTTACAGTTCCTCTGCTTGGCATGCAGAAGGTCCCAGGTTCAGTCTCCAGTATCTCCAGTTAAAAGGACTGGGAAGGACCTCAGCCTGAGACCCTGGAGAGCTGCAAGCAGGGGCTGTTGCTCAGTGGAAGTTCCTCTGCTTGGCATGTAGAAGGTCCCAGGTTCAATCCCCAGCATCTCCAGTTAAAAGGATCTGGCAGGGGAAGGACCTCTGCCTGAGGCCCTGGAGAGCTGTCAAGAGGGGCTGTGGCTCAGTGGTAGAGCACCTGCTTGGCATGCAGAAGGTCCCAAATTCAATCCCTGGCATCTCCAGTTAAAAGGACCAGGCAGGAGGTGATGGGAAAGACCTCCGCCTGAGACCCTGGAGGGCTGACAAGAGGGGCTGTGGCTCAGTAACAGAGCTTCCCCTAGGCATGCAGAAGGTCCCAGGTTCAATCCCCGGCATCTCCAGTTAAAAGGACTACATAGGAGATAATGTGAAAGACCTCCGCCTGAGACCCTGGAGAGCTGCTGCCAGTCTGAGTAGAGAATAGAGACCTTGATGGACCGTGGAGCTGATTCGGTACAATGGGGGGAATGGGCTTTGGCTCTGGGGCAGGGTACCTCCTTGGCATGCAGAAGGTTTCAGGTTCAATCCCCGGCATCTCCAGGTAAAAAGGACCAGGCAGGAAAGGATGGGAAAGACTTCTGCCGGAGACTCTGGAGAGCTGCTGCCAGTCAGAGCCAACAAAACTGAGCTTGATAAGGGTCAGGTTCAGCACGCAACCCTTTCATGTGGGGAGGGGTCACGCGGCTCAGTGTCAGAGCATCTGCTTGGCATGCCGAAGGTCCCAGATTCGATCCCTGGCACCTGCAGATGCCCCAGGTTTGGGGTGACCTGAAAGTCCCTGAGACCCTGGAGAGCTGCTGCTGGCCAGAGTAGATGACTGATCTTGATAGACCAAGGGTTTCCCTCCGTAGAAGGCAGCTTCATGCAAGGGTTTGTGGCTCACTGGGAGAGCCTTCTCTTGGCATGCAGAAAGTCCCAGGTTCGATCCCTGCTCTCTCCAGTTAGGTCCTGGGTGATATGAAAGTCCCTGAGATATGATATGAAAGCCCGCCTAGAGGAAAAGACGGATCTTGATAGATGAAGGGTCCTTCTCAGTAGACGGCAGCTTCATACAGGGAGGGGCCTGTGGCTCAGTGGCAGAGCATCTGCTTGGCATGCAGAAGGTTTCCAAGGTCAGTCCCCGGCATCTCCAGATAAAAGGGTGAGATAGCGGGTGATGGGAAAGACTCAGGTGGGACCCTGTAGCCAGCCAGAGTAGACAATAACTGATAGACCAACAGTTTGACTCAAGATAAGGCAGGCTCGTTTAGGAAATCGCTGTGGCTCAAGAACCTCAGGAGTTCCCTGGTTCAGTCCCGGGCATCTCCCCTTAAAAGGATCGAGTAGAAGGTGGATTGGAAAGACCTGACCCTGGAGAGCAGCGGCCAGTCTGAGCAGATGGGACTGGCCTTGATAGACCCAAGGCTGTGTTTGGGGGAAGGGGGAGGAAGTCTGTTCCCCTTTGGAAACCGGGAACTCCACAACAGACGCTTAGTTTGATCCAACAGGGTCCTTATTCAGATATTATCCTTGTATTGAGGGCGCAGTGGGGCTGAGCGAATGTCATGGCAAGATGGGTGTAGAGGATTCCCGTGAGCTCACCCTGTATTCGGTGAAACTCTCCGGTCGTAGCTAAGGCAGATGGAACCTCCATGTTCAAAAGCAGTGTATCTCTGAATATTATGGCGACAAGTTGGCCGTCTAGCCTTCATGCCCAGGTTGTGAGCGTCTCACCACAGTGGGGAACCAGGGTGGCAAGGTTAGAGGACCTTGGTTTGATCTGCTATCACACCCTTCTTAATGTTCTTAATTCATGACTTGAGCATTGTGTGCTGCTTAGAGCCGGAGGTGAAATGGTGTGGTATAGCCCGATGCTGCCGGAACCTAATCAACCAATACAAACAACCGTGATATAGTCACTTAAGAACTTAGTTTATGTAAATTTCTATGCAAATCTCTTCTATTACTTAGAGATTTGCATAGTAATTTACATAAAACAAGTAATTTACATAAAACAAGACCTTAGTAACTAGATCACGGTTGTTTGTATTGGTTGGTCAGCTTCATCCTGTGATCTCTCATAATCTGTAAGATCTCAGAACCCAAGCAGGGTTGGTACTTGGGTGGGAGACCACCAAGGAAGACTCTGCAGAGGAAGGCGATGGCCAACCACCTCTGTTCACCTCTTGACTCGAAAGCCCCTTGCTGGGGTTGTCATAATGGGCTCCAACTTGACACACACACAGTGGTTAGGGTATCAGACCACGATCTGGGAGACCCGGGTTCGAATTCTGACTTTGCCATGGAAACCTGCTGGGTGACTTTGGGCCAGTCGTTCTCTCACAGCCTAACCTGCATCACAGGGTTGTTGTGCAGACAAAATGGAGGAGAGAACAGTGCTGTAAATGGCTTTGGGAAGGAAAACAAGGAATAGATAAGTATTGTGCTTAATTCAGGTAGGGCTTTTCAAGAAATGTGTATAAAAGGGTGAGGGGGGGTATCACTAAGGCCTCATTGAAATGGGAAGTCTGTTCCTGGACTGCACCATTTCAGACTGCAGGGCGGGATCCTGTGTATCTAAACATTCCTGCCTGTTTTAAAAAGTCCCTGCATGCAGAAGACTAGCAGGTCAGGGAAAAGGGGGATCTCCTTGAGTTGCTACTTTTCTTCGGGCAGATTTTATTGTCTTGCATGGAGGAGAGGTTCAGTCATGTGGGCCTGAAGTGGATCAGCTCAGGTACCGATCTGTGATGCGACCCCCAACTTTCCGTCACTCGGGGGACATAGCCGGAGCCCCCCGCAACCACCCCATGTAGGCGCTGAGCAGACCCAGGCTCGCTTGCCTGCAGGGGGACAGATGCTTCCAACCTAGGAAAGCCGCCTGACCTGAGGTGACAGTCTAGCACGGGAGAGCCATTCGCTATCAGCAGCTGGGGCTACTCAGCGGTCACGCTTTCCTCCCTTCCTTGCGTTGAGTCACATAGAAGGAAATGGCACGGGGACATTATGCCATGACACAGAGACCCGGTGCAGCGGAAGTCATGGAAACTGTAGCTTTTGAGGTCATGGGTGGGGGATGTCGTCAGATATTTTGGGAACTTACCGTGAGCCTTATCGGTGTCTTCGCTCCTTTCGGAAGCGGGTTCAGGGATATTTTAGTAGAGATGTGGCAAGTCTATTGAGGATAAAGATGTCTCTCTGGGCGTGCCTGGATATTTTTTTTGGGGGGCTGTGTTTTGCCAGCCCCTTATCCTACTTAGCTGTTACCTTCCCACCGAAGTGGTACCTATTTATCTACTTGCAATTTCTTGCTTTTGAACTGCTAGGTTGGCAGGAGACCAGAGACGGGTGCTCACTTCGTCACGCGGCACTCGGGTCTCGAACTGCCGAACTACCGATCTTCCGGTGTGCAGTTCAGTGTCTTAACCACTGAAACCTTTATCTATCCTACTCAGATATCTGCTTTACTTTCAGGTTAAAAAGTGGGGTGCCCATCAGTTGAAGGCTGATCTCCTCACGGTGGAAGGGGTATTACGGAAGGCAAGGGAAATGTGCAGTGTCCCCTAGAGCACCTTACTTGTTTCCCCTCACGGAAGTAAACGGCTACCAGTGTTTATGCTTTCACACATGCTAAATAATGCGGTTTCAGTCTGTTTGCAAGTGGATTTTGCCATTTCAGACAGTAAACTCCAGTTGCAAAGTGCATCGAAAGCGGATTGAAATTGCGTTATTTAGTGTGTGTGTGTGTGTGTGTGTGTGTGTGTGTGTGTGTGAAATTCTACCTTGTGAGCTCCTGGCATTAAAGTTGTGAGCGAGCGATTTGGCTGCTGCATACATTTAGTCTGCCCTGGAGCCATCCCTTCCTGAGCTAAGGTAAAAATGTGTGAGCCGGAGGCTAAAAAACTGTGAGCTAGCTCCCACTAACTCAGCTTAGAGGGAACACTGGTCAGATGTTTGCTTTACACCCAAGTTAAAAAGTGGGGTGGCCGTCTGTTGACGGCTGATCCGCTCATGGTGGAAGGGGTATTGCGGAAGGCAAGGAAAATCTGCAGGGTCCCTGAGAGCACCCCTTTACTCCCCCCCCCCGAGTAAATGGCTACCATTGTATTTGCTTTCACACACACTAGATACTGCAATTTCAAACCGTTTGCAAGTAGATTTAGACAGTAAAATCCAGTTGCAAAGTGCATTGAAAGCAGATTGAAAGTGTGGTGTTTAGTGTGTGTGGAAGCGTGAGACAAAGTTTTGGGGGGGGCAGCCATTGAGGAGGGATCTGTACCAGTTTGGTGTAGTGGTTAGGAGCATGGACTGTAATTTGGGAGAACCGGGTTTGATTCCCCACTCCTCCACATGCAGCTGCTGGTGTGACCTTGGGTCAGTCAGAAGTTCTTTCAGAGCTGTTCTCTCAAGAGCAGTCCTCGAAAGAGCTCTCTCAGCCCCACCTACCTCAAAGGGTGTCTGTTGTGGGGAGAGGAAGGGAAAGGAGACTATAAGCCGCTCTGAGACTCCTCTGGGTAGTGAAGGGCGAGGTATAAATCCAATC